GGTATAAATTTGTGCCAAAGAAAATATGTTCTTGATCTGTTGGAAGAAACAGGGTTGTTAGGTGCTAAACCAGCTGAAACACCCACGGAACCAAATGCTAAGTTGAGCAGTGATGCAGGCGAAATGTTTGATGATCCTGAAAGATATAGGCAGTTAGTGGGGAAGCTGAACTACCTAACCATTACTAGCCTAGACATCTACTTTGCCGTCAGTGTGGTGAGCCAATTTATGCAAAATCCCCAAATACCTCACTGAGATGTAGTTCTTAGAATTGTACGATACTTGAAGGGAGCTCCAAGTTGCGAGTTGTTGTACAAGCCATGAGGAAGTGTTGAGATAGTCAGGTATACAGATACAGATTGGGCAGGCTCGGTGTCTAATAGGAGATTCACTACAGGGTATTGCACGTTTCTTGGAGGAAATCTGGTGATATGGAAAAGTAAGAAGCAAATTGTTGTGGCAAGGAGTACTGCTAAAGCTAAATATAGGGCCATGGCACATACCACATGTGAACTAGTATGATTGAAAAACCTTCTACAAGAAGTTGGATTCTCACTGAGCAAACCTATGAGATTGTGTTGTGATAACCAAACTGCAATCCACATCTCATATAATCCAGTTTTTCATGACAGGACGAAACATATAGAGGTTGATTGCCATTTTGTAAGGGAGAAAGTCCTTCTAGAGAGATAAGCACAGAGCACGTTAGTTTGGGTGATCAATGGGCAAACTTGTTCACAAAAGGTTTTGAGTTCAAGGAGAGTGAACTATATATGTAACAACTTGGGATTATATGACATATATTCTCCAGCTTGAGGGGGAGTATTAGAGTTGGCCAAGTAGGGGTAACTTAGTCTTTTTCATTTTATTTTAAGTGGTAACTTGGCAATGCTGTTTTATTTTAAATTTCTTGTCACATACTTAAGTAGGGGCATATTTGACTTTTGTACCCTTAATGAATATAATAAAAGGTTATCTATAAGAACCTAGGAGTAGCTCCAATAGGTGATAAAATGAGAGAGAGTATACTAAGATGGTTAGGGCACGTGCATAGAAGACCACCAATTGTGCCTGTTACAAGAAGTGATTTGTTACACATTGAAGGAGCTAAAAGAGCTTGAGATAAACCAAAAAGGACATGGGTAGAAGTAGCAAGAAATTATTTCCACACTAATAATTTAACAGTGCATATGGCGTTAAATAGAATGGATTGGTGAAACAGGATTCGTGTAGTAGACCCCATATAGTTAGGATAAGACATTGATATTATAAATGTGTACTATATTATAAATACTACAAATATATACAATATATAATTCATTATAAATAGATAATTATAAATATAATAAATACTTATATTTTAGTAATATATAATGCATATAAATTTATATATAATATATAAATATATATTGGCCGCTTTGGTTACCCATTGGGTTTTTCTTTTAGATTAACCAGGAAAAAAACTGTTACCACCAATTTTTGAAAAACACCAAACTGATCAGTTCAGTTAACTGGATTTTCGGTTCAGTTTTTATATTTTTGTTGAGCACCCCTAGTCCCACTAATAATGACTACATGACATGTATGAATGTCATACATGGAAGTGACTCACAAAACCATAGCTGTTGAGGTTGCCAAGTCGATGCTAGTTTACAGAGGAGCACCTTGCTGCCTATGCAACTAGGTGATCTCAAAAGTGTTGCCTCTACAATTGTTTTTAATAGATATTAAAAAAATGGTTGCTTCCAGCTTGTTTCCCTATTCACCAATTATTTGATTCATTGGTTTAGCAACCAGAAAACATCATAAGCTAACATGAAATAACCAAGCAATAAGAATAGAATTAAAACAGTTGATAGCCTATAAAAAACAAGGGGATGGGTGATGGGTCTCCATTCTGTTAATACAAAAAAGGAGATGCAAGACAATGTGTATGAGTGTTTTAAGTCAATGAATAGGAAAAGTCAAGCACACAAAGGGATCAAGACCCTTTTAGTTTGAACATGAGAAAGATGTAGAAGAAAGAATATGCAAGTTTGGTAACTGCAGAGAGAACAGGAGACAAAAAACATACAATGGTAGAGCCTTGTAATATTGAACATGTCAGAGATTTAGAGGAGTGTATGGAAGTATGTTAATTGTAAAGAAAAATAAAAGATAAAGTGGTAGACACCTATGCTAACCATAAAAAAGAATAAAGAGGAGTTATTACAAAGAATTTTAAAATAAAAATAACAATGGAAGAGGCAGATCCCATTTTATGACTCTCTGAAGTTGAAAAATGGTCTTCAACAATACACTTTGCCTTATAAGATATGGTTTAGCTGCACTAGGAAGTCGAGCCAAATATATGGATGCTCTATCTGGAAGGTAATAGAAAGGACCTACAACAAGTTCACTAAGGCCTGAGGTTTGATATGGGAAATTATCAAAAAGTGAAGCTCTGGAAGGATGTATGATGTGACAGCAGACCTTTAATGGAATCATTTCCTTCCCTTTATGATTTAGTTGTGGATATGGAGGTGAATGTGGCTGATTGAATGCAAGTACAGAATGGTATGTTGTATGGACTCCTCAATTTCGCATAAGCCTAAATGATTAGGAAGTAGGACCCATGATGGAATTGTTGCAACGGTTATATTGCTTACATGTCAACTGTAATAGAGCTGACAGAAGGGTGTCAATATGGGAGAAATTAGGCCAGTCCTCTGTCAGATCATTTTACAACTATTTGGCAAGGTTAGATGAACAAGAACTCCCTGCCAGAAAAGTATTGTGCAAGAACATCTCATCTAAGGTGGCTTTTTTTTTCTGTTTGGAGTGCATGTTTGAATAGAATCCTCACCAGAGACAACATGGCAAGGAGAGGTTTGACTGTGGCAAGTACAGATTGTGTCCTCTGTGATCGTTGTATGGAATCAGTAGACCATCGGCTGCTTAGTTACAGCTTTTCATATTCTATTTGGATCAGAATATTTGGCTTGTTTGCTACTAAAGGGTGCTGACCAGCCACTGTGGTGGAATTTTTAAAGAGTTTGAGATTGAAATGCCTGAGCAAAAGGGGAAGAATTGTGTGGAGCATTGCTCCTGCATCTGTGTTTTGGGTGTTAAGGGTCTTCAAGAACAAGAACAGTAAAGCAGATTTTTTTTTCAGAAGATAATAGGAAAACTATGCTCTTGGTTGGCTATTCACTAGATGTTAAAAGTGAGGAGTCATGATTCCTTTTTTGTATACAACAATCTTTTCGTAAACAGTCAAGGAATTTCTTTATAGGGCTGCAAAAGTATAATTATAATTAAATGAAATACCTTAATTTACCTTATCTCGAAAAGATGATATGGTTTAGCTGCACTAGACATGAAGTTATTGCACCTCCCATATAGAAATATGAATACAAGGCACAAGGCAATACCAAGAAAGGGCCATATCAAATATCAACTAAGCATCATTTGACAGCAATATGCTACTCCCTACACCCTACCTACCATCTTGTAGGGGATGCAAAGGTCTGGGTATGTGCTCAAACCATGGAACCTTATATTGGAGTGGGGAAGGGGGTCACAGGAGGGTCACAACATGTGCTGGTACAACATAATATCAATCATGCTGGGATGACCATGCAACCTAATATAGGGCCATGTGATGGCATGGTATCTAGCCACAGGACCTGGATAACCACATGACCTAATGCGGAGGTCACATTGTGATATACTACATTAAAGGGTATCCCTTATGTGTGAGATGAATGCTTTGGGATTCGCACTAGGGCATTTTTAAAAACACTTCAATCTGCTAAGTAGTTAAGAAAAATGTTTCGAAACATTTAACATACAAGATATATACCTCGGTAACAAGGAGTTAATTATGTCATACCACATTCAACATATAACCAAAGTTTCATGGGTTTAGGTGTGGGTATCAAGTGCAGGTATATATTGACAAGTCAGATCCATCTAACATGGAAATTATTGGGATATAGGGATTTGGCTAAGATTGACTTGCTAAGCCATACTAATATATGGAAAACACTTTACAGTAGGTAATTTTCTATCATGCAAACATGCAATTTTTAATATGAATGCCACCCAGATCCAGATATGGTAAGGACACAGCTGGACATGATATTGGTTACAAATTGAAGTATGCAACATGATATGTCACCCTTGTACAGGTTTCCAGCTATCATAGTTATTTTAAATGTACACACTTATTGATATCCATAAAAGGAAACACTAACAAATAAAGAATGCAATAAATAACATGAGGAATTAAGGATCACTTTATCATACTAAAGAACAGTTATTGTTTTTGGTATTGTAAAACACTGTGCATAATTGCATATGTTCAAAGTTGCACATTTTGGGCTCCCAATGTCACAACATTATAGATCCTGTTTACAACATCCATAGTTATATTATGATTGCAATACAGATTAAAATCATCCTTTGGCACTAACAAAAAAAAAATGCAATAAAAAGTATTCAAAAGGATGAAAATATAATAATGATTGGAATTTCACATTGCATGAGGTTAAAGGGATAAGAATCCGTGGAAACAGAATTAGAAAAATTATTTCTTTATGAGGAATTAGAATTTGGGGCAGACTTCTGGAGCTCTTTGAATAATTAGCTTTCTGGGTTTCTGATGTAATTTGTTTTAAGTCTATTTTGTTTTTTTTTTCTGACTGTTTTTTGGGGTGACCTCTTGTCACCTTATGAGTTGTAATCCCTTTCCAGTAATAAAATTTTTTTCTTTATTTGTCTTCAAAAAAAAGGGATGATTATAGTTGATCTTACAATTACCTCAAAAAAGGAAAGACCTAGTTTGTCTTTGCATATATTCAACTTTCAATTTTTATTTGTATTTTTACTTTAACTGTGAGATAATAAATTATGCCAGATGCATGCCCAAGTAGAAAGAGTTGAAATAGAAGGGGACGATTATTTGGACAGAATGGATAGCACAAAATATGAAAAAGGAATTACATAGAAGCATTTACCCAAGCAAGTCATTCACTTTTCCGCAAGATATGCAATAAAAGCTGCCATCAAGTCTTGCATGGTGTCCATCTTTGGCAATGCCAGCTCTTTTATGCATAAGAGCACAGTCAAGATGGCATGACATGCCACATGAATCACCTTGATATGGAGGTTCTGAACTGCAAACCAACCAGAGGCTGGGATCCTTGTTGTCATCGTATTTACAACAGATGCAACATGAGCACCTTTTGCAAAATGGATCCTGTCGGTGCATGGCAGCTCTGCATGCTGAATTTTGGCAGTAGATGGCATCATCTGGATCTCCATCTCCATTGCTGGAGATATTGTTTGTTGCAATGGGGAGTCGAGAAGGATGATCAGTCTTTCTCTGCCTCTTTGCAGTACTTTGGTCATTTATGGGAGAAGGCTTTGTTTCAGGCTCTTCACGTTTCCTGGACTTCTTCTCTGAAACAATTTTAAGAAGATGCTCAATCATTTTCAACTTTGTCAAGCCAGTATATTTCCTTTCTTTTCCCATCTCTGCACACAGGATCTGCAAAAGTTCCCGACGGCTCCATGACTGTAACATTTCAGGGGCACCATGTGACCACTTCGATATTTCATAAACAAGTTCCCTTTTCTCCTCCATGCTCAACTTGCTGCATTTTGACGGATCAAACACAAATCCTGGAAAAAAGGGAAATGGTTTAGATTAAACAGATCAAAATAGAAAAATTTAATTAGCATATCTATAGAAGTTAAAGAAAAAGAAAAGAAGATAAACTTATGTCCACATCAAAATTACTCTGACAAGGCAAGGAACAATGTAAATTCAACTAAGCACAAACAGCATGACAGCATGTGAATACTAAAACATGCTCCCCTACAGTAAAGATAAATTTTGAGATTCTCTTCTTTTATATAAAATTCATCACTAATCAACAAAAATAAATTTCATTAAAATAATTAATTTGCCTAGAAGTTTCGTATACCTTACAAACTCTTAGCTGATCAAATAAATTAAAACAACTAACCGTATAAAAAGACATTAAACAAAAGGTTGACCTTCATAATAAAAGACACTTCCAGCTACATCAATAATGTAAGCTTACTTCTACAGAATAATAAGAACTAACCCACGCCACTAATAAAAAAAGGAAGATAACTTTATGTAGGCATCAAAATTACTTAAGCGGACAACCACTTATACGATATCAAATGCGATTAACCAACTCAGTATTCACGATGATAAAAGAAAATTATCCAGCAAGCGCATTTATTAATAAAAATGACAATACTGCAGATATCCATCAATCGGAAGGCCCCAGAAACCAAATCTATCTACAAAACGAAGCAGAGCAGTCTGGAAAGAAAGCAATAAGAGGAAAGAAGAGAAAATCACAACTGATAGGCGGAAAAACACGACTCAACAGAGGATTCCCACAATTTGATAGATGACCCAGATCAAAAAAACCTTCAGAAAGTGGCAAATTACACAAATCCCAACAGATCAACAACGCAAACGTTAAATTAAGTTTTTGCTCTGCTATGAAAGATAACAGATCAAAGTCTCTAGCGACCATGCTAACCAACTGAAAACCCAGATACATTCGTCACAGAAACCAAGAAAAAAAATAACACAAGACACAGAAGAAATCGAAATCGAAACAAGAAAAAAAATCTTACCCTCGTAAGAAGAATCCATGATTAAATATCCGCCTTCTCTTCCCACCACATTACAACCGAAAGCATAACTCCTCTCCTGCAATCAATAGAGACTCGGAAAAAGGAAACAAAAATAGAAAAATAAAAGAAATAGAAACAGAAACAAAGAAATCACGGTATATAGACGGATAAAGAAGAGAAACAAATACCAAGAAGCGACGCTCGAATTTCTGCCACAGCGAACGAATCCATCACTGACTGGGTCCTCTTCCGGACCAGAGGTGCGTGAGGAGATTCGGGCCCTTTTTGAGATGTTCTATGAGAGAGAGGGAGAGGGAGAGGAATAGGGAGGGAAGGAAAGAAAATAAAAATAAAAAAGAACCAAATAAATATGGCTCAGATATCACATCAGCGCCGTACAGAACGCGCCCCACCCTATTTATCATTAAGAGATGTTTTTAATAGACGGTTAGGATGCGCTGTGGGGCGCCGATATGAATTCCTCGAGTAGGGACAAAAGCGGCTGCATGTCATCTTTTCTCGCGTCAAAACGTCGTTTTCTCGAGAGAGAGAGAGAGAGAGCGAGATGGAAATAGGAAAGACTTTTCTTCTCAAGTACGGTCCATGTTAATTGGTAAAACTCTGTCCAATTATCCTTCTGTTAGGGCTTCAGTTTTGAGCTGCTTTTCATTGAGTCACTTAGAAGAGTTTACTTGAACAGTTAAACCTGCTTCATTGAAAAGGCAATTCCTTGATGCCCGTTTGCGAGAGCTTCACGCAGCTGGTTTCTGGCGTTTCACGAGCTGAAAACCCGAACGCTATGAAACCAATCTAATATATTAAAGTAATGAAATCAGGCTAAATCTTCTTCATGAGACATGTGACTCTCCTCTATTCAGATACGTGTATTCAAATCGTTAAATAAATTAAATAAATGTTTTCTTTTTATTAGTTGTCTTTCATAACAGAACCCATCAACATGTATAACAAATTCACAATGTACTGCCGTGTCAAGTGGAAATCTTCCACCCTCAATTTTGTTTAAAATTTGAAAAATAACTTCAGAAAATAACTAACTCATGAAATAACAAACAAACTGTAAATTATAACAATTGAAAACACCCAAGTTAAGTTTCTGCATAGAGTTCTGTAACTGAAAAGATATCTAAAATTCAAACACATTCAGTAAACCTTCATTCCATTAATGCAATAATCTTCAGTAAATCCAATAATCCAAGAACCCAAGTGAAGTTCGTATCTTTCTTCACATTCAGATTATTCTTCATCTTCAGAGAACTTACAACCAAACAATGTCTGCTACTCATACAAGACATGTCTACAACTCATTCAAGCCTGGAATCTCAGAGAAATTGATTGTATTAGATTAGTTAAATTATTATCATTGGTATTTTATTAATGTTAGAGGAATTAATTGCCATTTTTTTTTGTTTTCTGTGTTTACTTTTTGTTGATGAATTAGGCTTTAATCGGTTCTTTTTTAGATTTATAGTTTGATGTTAGTTAGATGTTCATATTCTTTAGAATGCACAGGTGACCACCGGCATGTACTGCTTTCTCTTCCAGCAGTAAAAGCCTTCATGCTTATAAATTTTTCTTTCTGGTGTACTATAATCTCCACCAGTAATACTTGCACATTACTGATAAAATAAATTTCTTTCAAATTTTGTTGTTCCATTTATTTTATTTTGTGTTTTTTTTAGATGTTTTTTGGTTCAAACGGATGATAAACCACCACTTTTTGCGTTGTCCAAAGAATGCATGTTCGTCCTTTGTATTCGTCGCTCTAACGAGCGAACGAATTGGTTTTGGGTAAAGAAGGAGATTGTAACAGGTTTTCAGGTCGGGCCATTAAATAATGGTCCTGTTTTGTGACTTAAACACTGTTGAGGACCGGCCCACGATTTATAATTACTGTTAATTACTGTTGTGCGTCTCGCTATTTAATTACTATTAATAAATTACTGTTGTGGGTCGGGCTATTTAATTACTGTTAATTACTATTGTGGGTCGGCTATTTAATAACTGTTAATTACTATTGTGGGTCGGGCTATTTAATTACTGTTAATTACTAAAGTAATAGTAATTAATGATTTATAATTAATTAATTATATCTATTAATTATTAATAATAATTAATAACACAAATAATAATTATTATTTTAAAGTAATAATATTATTAATTACTGATAATCAATGATGTAATCCTATTGTTAATTACTGATAATTACGTAATTAAGGTTATTTATTAATTTTTAATTGTTTTGTGTAATGTTATTATTAATTACGTAATATTAGTATTAATTACTGATAATTACCGGTAATTGCATAATGTTATTCATTATCATTTTATATATTATTATCATTAAATTTAACAATATAATAACATAATAATCCAATTATCAATTAAATTGTTTCATTATCAGCTTGGTATTAATTAAATTGTTTAATTATTACTTCATTAATTAATTAAAAACAATAATAATAATAATAATAATAATATAAGGAAATAAATTATTAACTACTATTTTTAAGACACTCATACAGTCTACGGGTCCATATAAATTGACCCTTATATGTCAAACCCATAAAATTATACGGGTCAATAAATTCAACTTGAACCATTTATTACTTTAATTTACTATTCTTATTCTTATTATTAATTTATTTTAGTATTTAATTTAAACTTTTTGTTATTGGGTAATAATATTAACTAGATTTTTAATTATTTAAATATTTACTTAAAACATTTTTCCAACCAAGTATAATTATTATTTATTATTTACTAATTATTTTACATAATTTTATTATTAATCATGTATATCATTAAATTTAACAATATAATAACATAATAATACAGTTATCAATTAAATTGTTTAATTATTATTTTCATTAAATAATAATAATAATAATAATAATATAAGGAAATAAATTATAAACTACCCTTATATGTCAAACCCATAAAATTATACGGGTCATTAAACTCAACTTGAATCGTTTATTACATTAACTTAACCATTCTTATTATTACTATTACTATTATTTTATTTTAGTATTTAATTTAATTTTTTATTGGATGATAATATTAACTAAATTTGAAATTATTTAAATATTTACTTAAAATATTTTTTCCAACCAAGTATAATTATTACATAATAGATTTGTTAATTCATATTTTGCATTTGCGAATAAACATTAATGATTTGGCCTAACAATTTTAATTACTGTTAATAAATATTAATTATCATTTAAGGTTTAATTACTGTATTCAGTAATTATTATGGGGCCCACTTTGAATAAACATTAATGATAACTGATGATTCTTATTTTGTTTTAATATATATATTATGTTAGTGTTAATTAATTACTGTTAAATGTAACTTTTGGTAATTAAATGTAATTTTATGCTATTTATAGCTTAAATTATATTTACTGTTAAAAATCATTTAGTTACAGTTTTAAAAATATATTATTTAAAAAAATACTATATTAATTAAAAAATAATTACTGTTAATTGTTGTATGATGCACTTTTATTTATTTTAAATTAAATGCACTTTTCTGGTAATTATTATTAATTGTTTTATGATGCACTATTAAATACAGCTATTTAATTAATAAATATTTTATAATGTATGATGCACTGTTAAATAATACTGTTTTTTAATAATAATTGTTAATTATTTAAAAATACTATAATTATTAAAAACACTGTTAATTACATTTTAAAATACTGCGATTATAATTACTGCTAATTACAATTTAAAATTTATTTATTTACAATTTAATTACTGATAATTAAGAACAAAAATAAAAATAATTGTTTTAATGTAATAATATTATTAATTACTCATAATTATTTCGGTAATTGTATTATTAATTACGTAATTTTATTATTAATCATGTAATGTTATTATTAATTACTGATAATTATGTAATGTTAATGATTATCATTATATATATATTATCATTAAATTTAACAATATAATAACATAATAATACAATTATAAATTATATTGTATAATTTTCAACTTGGCATTAATTAAATTGTTTAATTATTACTTCATTAATTAAATAAAAAATATTTAATAACAAAAAAATAATTACTTAGTATTAATTATAAAATATTAAATTACTATTACTACTATTATTGTTATCTTATAATTATTTCTGATTTTACAATTAGTATAATATTAATAATAATTTAATAATACTAATTATTTCTCATTAGTATTATAATTATTATTATTATTTACAAAAGTCCAAATAATTTTTCATTTTCAATACTAACTATTTTTTCTCTTATTTAGTTTTCCAAAAGATAAAAATAAAATAATGATATCTAATATATTAAATGAACGCTTTCAGGTGAAAGCCCTCATCTATCAGACACTTGACCTTCTCAAATGCCTTCTCATTCAGAGACGTGGCCATACAAAATTGGAGCAAGCCAAAGCCCCCCAAGTCAGACACTTGCAACAATTCACATGTTGGAAAAAATGGGTCATTATAACTTTGGAGGATAAGCTCTGAGGCGCATTTGAAGACATTGTCTTTATAGCGTTATTTGCCCCCACTCAATTTCACTGAGTTTGCTGTTGGGTTATAGGCAAATTCGTTTTCAGGATACAACAGAGCCTTGGGCGAGAATCTGCAATCAGCAAAGTTGAAGAGTCTCCAAAGAAACTTTCTGTGAGATTGTAGCAGATCGGACTAAGAGAGAGAGAGAGTGAGTGAATTTCGAAATTGTGTATTTTGGAGTCTGATTCATGCTCCTTAAATAATTTGTGAAGAGGTATAAAGAAAATGTAGGTGCTGGTTTAGAGAAGGCACCTTGAACAGTCACAATTTCAAACATTGTGACTGTTTAAAAATAGTTAACAGTTAATGACTATTAACTTTGAATTGTGCCTCTTGATCACACCTGATCGAATCGTGACTGTTGATCTCATCAACGGTCAGCAACGCACCAAAACCAAAGCCGCCCATCGCGAGCCACGCGAGTGCGAGCAAAGTGTGCCTCTAAAGCGCCTCATTGCGCTGCACACACGCGTGCACGCGCAGTATCGAATCCCCAAACTCTCATCTACTAATTATAAGGAGTGTAAATCAGCTCTCATTGAAATACTGAAAAACAAAACTTGTAATTTTCCAATGTGGGATAAGTTCAAAACTGAGTTTTATAAAAGAAAAACTGATTTTTCAATCAAGTGTGCAGGTTAAATTTCTCATGTAATTGACCAATCAAACCCAATGGATTTAATCTCTTATAAGATTAAAATCCAACATCACGTATCTGAATTTCAGGAATGCAAAACCCCTCACGTAGTCAGTTAG